TGTCCTAATTGAGTTCTTCAAAAATCTCAAAGGGCCTAGTGCAACGAAAAAAAATATGTGGTGATAGCGAGCAAGCCCTACATTGGCCAGATTTTTTATGTATAGTGGACACACATCTTGGAACACACCGTATACCAACTTTTTGAAGCTTTTTCTGAAGCTTTCTGAACCCAACCCGTTCATTTGGTTGAAGGCCGTAATAGCAGAGCGAAATTCCGGGGGGAGGGGGGTGCTAGAACTTCGCATGCAAGAGTAGAACGCGAGAATAGTAGAACAAACTTGTGTAGAGTTCTTTAGTGACGACGTAATAGTAAGGACCCATACGCACAGCCTCTTCAGTATGTTGCTGCGCGTCACTGCGTGGTGTACACTTTATACGTGCCACAAGGACATGAACGTGGGTGTTCCACACATCGCCATGTTTGAGACTGTCTTAGAATGGCTACTACGATTAGAGTTTAGAGCTGCTACCTACGGCACAATTATTCTTTCTGCGAATTGGTGAAGCGGCCACTTGCGACCTTAAAACCACAGGTGCATGTGCCTAGCTAAAGACCATCTGACTGTTGCTGTTAATTATGAATAATTATGTCCGTGTGGTGTGTGAGTGGTTGAACGTAAAGCAGACAGTATTTGTGCAATGCGCATGTTTTTGTGCTTGGTGCAATTCTACACCACGACCCGACAATAATACATGGCTTAGATTTAGCCATGCACTAGGTGGCGGTCATTAAAGTTTTTTTTTTGCTAAAAACACATTATGCTGTGTGATGAATTTATGCTAGAACACCCTTTTGCGAGGCAAGTGTTCTGGGTTGCTTCTGCTCAAACCAAACTAAATCATTATCATCATGAATTAGAGCGCGTAATACTAATCCTCTTCTTCATCGACTTTCTCTTCTGCATCAAAACCAGAAGAAGTGCACCAGTTCGCTGGGCTAGGTATTAATTAACTATATTGACTAGAGAGAGTACAGATGGAAACAAAGAATGAGAGAGAGACTCAGTGAAAAAAAGGAAATAGAAAGTAAGCAAAGGAAGAACTTACTGACGAAAAAAAAAAACTTTTTTCAGGAGGCTTGCCTATTTCTGATTTGAAAAGAAGCATCCTGACTACTCGGCCATTTATCAACACTGGCAGAGCTGACCATAACCTCGTATAGTATATATAGTACAAAAATGTGGTTGCAAAGGGCAGTAGTATTAGTGGTTATTATAGGAAAGGGCAAATTAGCTAATTTAATTAAGGTAATTGAGGTAACGAAACGTTCTCACCACAGGTGTGGCAGTCGGTGGTGGTGCCGAAGCAGGTGTAGCTGGTGCGACACCAACAGGTGGAGCAGGAGGAAGCGCCATTTCAGGTGCCCCTGGCACACACGGTGTTGTTTCGGTGTTGGGGGGAGCATCAACAGGAAATGGTACGTGCTTCTTTTGCTGATTTTTACCTTGGAAACTTGTACATAACCTAGTTCACAAATATTATAACAGTCTATCTTGCCCTTAGCCTGAAGCATGTTTTTTTTCATCAATGGTGAAAATATAAAGGATAATAGCTTTTGTATGCTAGCCTGCAAACACATTCAAACAACGTCCCACAAAAAGCACTTCAAAAAAGCGTTTTCACGCATAAACAGAAAATTTCCCGACATAAGAGTGTGTTGTATGCTTTCTGTAGAATCCACCACAAGGCGCGTCTACATAAAAACTAGAATTAACTGGTCAATGTTTTTATTCACAATTCTAATGTTATTTGTTGTAACAGGTTATGGTAAAATGCGCTTGCCTGCTTGAATCACGTGAAACGTATCACGGACTTAAAAAATGCTTATTTTGGACCATCTGAACTTGAAAGTATATCTCTACACATTTTCAGTGCCCACTTGGGCATTTTTGTAGAACAACCATCAGTAAGAATTTTTTGTAGAATTGATGTCCCGGCGCAATGCGCACACTTCATTGTAACTGCTTCCTGTTATTATCACCAAGCTTCTTTGTGCATAGAGTATGCATGCATGAACGTATATGGAATAGCTTTTTTCTTGATAAAATGGTGAGTTGTATATTTTGCGAATGCTTAAAAAATTATTTCTTGGTTTTCATTCAAATAAGTAGCCTGAAGATTTTAATAGAAGTCTTTTTTTACACTCATTTGTGGAGTAGGGCAGCCATCATTGATTGGACACGGGCATGGGGGAGCAGGAATGGCAACAGGAGCTCTCGGTATGTGTTTCTTATTATTACTCGCGCTATATTGTACCTGTACGCTAGAGAAAAATTACCTGATATCAATACTGTGCGCGTCAACGTTTGAATACTGCGCAACTCTCCTAAGCTCAGGGGCCTGAAATGTACATATTGCATTGACGCATTTTTGGGAAGTACGTACGTCTGCACTGAAAATAAAACGAAGATAGTGAAAGTTGCACACACTAGAGTTTCTTGATCGTAGAATACAGTCCAGTTGCATATAAAGGTCCACGATAAAATGCTCGAAGACGCTGATGGACAACAGACACAAACACCGTGTGTCACTTCCAACAAAGCTTCTTCTGAGAGAAACATGGGTGCGGCTTATACAGTGAAAGCTGGCCCACTGCGGAGTCGCATACACATAAAAAACGCACTTTTTGTGATAAAAAAAAATGAGACCAAACTCACGCGATAATTCAAGAATATATTTTCCTCTAATATTAATATGTTTCATTTATTTCAAATCTAGCTTACAGAACAAATGTGACAATCCAGTGAATGTTTGCTGTCCCAGCAATGGATTGCCAGGTTACCCTCATTATCATTTCTAACATTATTGCAAAGTTGTTTGAGCCCGTAGTTCCGCTATTGCTCAGCTTGGCACCGTTCTTTCTGCTACATAGAAGGGGAATATCATAGATCACTCCTACTTTGAAGACAACATACTTGCTTTAGCAGTTAATGGTAGAGTTTTAAGAAGCAAATAAACCGCCTTGACTAGACTAGCCTTTCGCAAGGTATATTAGTTTCTGTGGCTGAAGCGATTCTGGAGAAGTTCCATGTCCTCAAAAGTCTTGCTTTGTCAGCAGACAGGTGGTTTTTTTCGCCCCTTTCAAAATGTGTACACACTACACAATGACCAATTCTAGCGTAGATTAATCACAAATCTGTACCAATAATTACGCAATGAAGTTTATCAAATGCCAGGTGAAAGTGCGTGTGATATATCCAAGCCATGTGACAAAAAGTACGTGGGCTATAACTGAGCACTGCTTAAATTATAGGCTCAAACAGCATTGAATTAGTTTTGCAAATGGCAGAGAGGGCTGTTTAGCAATGGGTTGTCAAGACCTCGAGTGTTAATCAAATTTTCACGCCTGTTCTGTCTGTTATGTTATTGTGAGGAGTTAAAATCAATTGAATAGACGGAGAGTTAGGGCAGTAAAAAGTGTTGAATGAGTTAATCCATGCACGAGTAAGGCTTCAATGTTTTTTGATAAAAATAGTGGTACCATTGAATGGTACTGCGCAGCGATAATGTGTGACAGTGCTGTTAGTATAAATTGCACCCAAGTTTTCTCCTGAATAAACTTTGCTGAAAGTGGTACCTTGCTTTTGCTTATAAGAGTCAGAGCGCTCAGGAAAACATGAAGACATTTTAATTGTAACACGAATTGCATTTATGCAATGTACTTTATTGCAGTTTTTGATGAAATGAATGAGAAAAGGAAGAGGCCTGTGTTGCACGTACATGGGCTATTTTTGACCACCTGACCTTTTCTTAGGACCTATAAAGTTTTATCCCACCCCTCCCCTCCAAACGAACCTGCCGTGCTCAGGAATCAGAAGCACGGCTACCTGTTTGAGAGCCCACTACGTAAGCCGCCAATTTGACGACGCCCATGTTGCTCGTCAGTCATTCGCCGCTTTTCGATCCAAGAGCTAGCATATAATCTCACATACTTTATCAGCCCAGGGACATGAGATCTCCCCCGCCGCGGTGGTCTAGTGGCCAAGGTACTCAGCTGCTGACCCGCAAGTCACGGGATCGAACCCCGGTTAAGGCGGCTGCATTTTCGATGGAGGTGAAAATTCTGTAGGCCCGTGTACTCAGATTTGGGTGCAGGTTAATGAACCCCAGGTGGTTGAAATTTGCGGAGCCCTCCACTACGCCGTCTCTCATAATCATATGGTGGTTTTGGGACGTTAAACCCCACATATCAATCAAATCACAAACATGCAATCTAACCTTACATAATAATAAAATGCCTCATATAATAGCGCGTACATTTAAATAGGAAATCGGCGAATGACCGGTGAGCAACATGGGTGTTGTCAAACTAGCGGCTAACGTAATGGGCTCCCAGACAGGAAGCCACACTTTTTGTTCTCGATTAACGCTGCTGCATTTTGATTGGAATGAAGTTGGCGCAAGTATTAAGATCTAAAACGGCGCTGGTCAGTCTTTTCTGTGTGTCTGCTGTTTTCAATGAAGTCGAGCTGCATTTGTTCAAGTATGCAACAAATAACCTGAATAAGTCAGGACATTGTTAGTAAAGCACAATATTAAGGTTTGTGATTCGGTTCAGAGCTGATCAGAGGTTTTTGTATTTCCATACGTCATATTTGCCGCTCATCAACTTCTATTGCTCAATCAAGAGATTAAGAACAGCACATATGTAGCAAAATGCTTCGTACAGATTGAAAACATACCCATTATATAAAGGCTTCAGATTCATGTGAAGAGAATTTTGAATGTGTGCCCAGCTTTTTAACTTTTACAGTTTATGGTGATTTTTGTTAGCCTATAATACCAAATAAGAACGACTGAACTCCACTCACTTGTACTCTTAAAACGAGCAAAATGTTCTTAAGGCTAGAAAAATGAAAAAAAAAACATTTTTTATTTCAGGTGCTGCATTAGGTACTGTGGCAGCATCAGGTGCGACCGTTGCTGGCGCACTAGCAGCTGGAAGTGCAGGACATGTCACTCCAGGTGCCACTGGTGCAGGTGGTGGTGTGGTGCCGGGGATAATAGGAAATGGTACGATCTTCTTACTCTACTTAAGATTGCGACGTGTATTAAGCCGGCACACAAATATTTTTGAGATTTTCTAGGTCTTAGCGAAAGAGATATTTTGTTCATTCATGGTAAGAAGAGCGAGGTTAATTGCTTGTGTATGTTGGTATGCTTATACATCCAAACAGTATCCTGAAAAGTGCTTCAAGAGATGGATTTTATCCCTAAACCAAAATGTTGCAGAGAAAACAGGATTGTTGACTTTGAATAAAAATCAGTGCATGGCGCGTCTAGTTTAAATATGCAATTTACATTTTGGGCCACTGCAAGTGTAAACTGTATTTCTTCAAAATGATACCGCTTTAACGCGCAGTTATTGCGATAAAAAGGCCTGACTAAGTTATGCCTCGATGATAATACCTAACAACTGCGGTAGTTGTTCTTGTCAGCCGGTGCAGCAGTAGCACTCCTTGGACGGTGTTCGAAGCACGTCAAATGCAAGCCTTGCACGCACATGATCTTTCGAAAGAAGCGCACGACAATCTCAAATAGAAAAGGAAGGTAGAATATAATCTCGATGCATTCATAATTATTTTCTGCAGCACCAGACATCTTTAGATGACTGGAGCTATCGCTATGGCACTAACGAAAAAAAACTCAATTATTTAACAGTTTAACTAATAGAGACTGTCGGTCTTGCCTCATGAGGGAATTGCAGTCTTTCTTGCGAAGCGACTATTTTTTTCTTCTTGACTTTGAAAAAGAAGCTACAGCACCGGTGCAATTGGTCAGATTTTATCACGCTGCATAAATCAGCAGCCTGCTGATATATGCAGCGTGATAAAATCTGACCAATCTGACCAGTTGCATTAGCTTCTTTTTTTTTTGACAAACTAATATGTTGTGACCACGAAGAACAATCGTGTCCTGCACTAAAGGTAGAGAGGTAAAAATGTTTGAATTAAAAGCAGGGTGGTCAGAACATGCTTTATTTCCCCATGTACATACCAAGTTGCATGGGATGAGGTAGATTGGATAAAGTTGCTATACTATAAATCTGTAACGTTTTGCTGCTCGACATTAGATTGCCACTTGTACTCAACCTTACTCTCAGCTGTGCGAAATATTTGGCTTTATCTAGTTTACCCTATTATGCCAACATTCTTAGTTTTATTGAAATTCTCTAGAGAATGAATGTTTAGTCTCTTGAGGTGATGCTATTGCTAAAGTTTTAATGGTGTTGCTCGCGAATATTTTGGCATGTGTGCATTAAAAATATATTTAGCCTCGTTGTTGCTTTGTTTCTCAGCTCAAAATGAATCAGTTGAATAAAAATGCGAATGTTGTTCTCGTATTCTTGAATGTCCTTTATTAGGGCAGTTTACACAGCACTTCCTTAAAGCACGACAATTAACTTATATTATTTTTCAGAAGCTCTTTACTTTAAAGAACAGTGAAATAGTCAGGCTAATTATGAATTTCTATAGCGCTTAATGTCAAGACTAAATCAAGTGTTCTATTGGGATCAAAGCACGATCTTTTTCTCGGTTTGCCAATGGAATAGAGGTACAGAAGTGTAATACGTGCAAAGCAATGGAAGCTTGGTTCTATGTTTACCGCTTCCCTGCATACTCAGAAAGAAGCTGCCTGTCTTTTCCTCCCTTGATTTTTTTTCCTACCAGCAGGCTTCCCTACTACAAATACGCATTTAGTTGGAACAACGCCAACTGGTTCATTGCCAGGATTGCAGGGTGGTGAGTATTTCTCTCCATCTCCAGCAAGCTTCATAACTATAAGGCAGGTGTCAGCATAGAAAGACAAGAGTATGTACTACAGAATTTATGCCTACAGTGTACACAGTAAACATATATTTACTCGGTTGGTTACAAGTATTCTTATAAAATTAGGGTGAAATATAAATAATGACAACTGCGACAGCAAGCCCATACGTGAGAATACCATTTCTTTATTCGTGTAACAATTTAGGGTCACTTGAAAACACATATTGTGAATATAACATAACATCAATCTCTATCATCAAGTTTTCTATCAATATTTCTGCAAGTTTGTGGCTAAGTTCCGATATTCGCTGTAATTAATAGGTTTCACGTGCAATATGCCACATATTTGATGCTTTGGATGGTTGGAAGATTTATTTATCAGAAATATTTGTGAGAATTTTAGAAAAATATGTTTTGATGGTGCACTTATAGAACGTTTAAAGACAAATGCGATTTCAAACTTAACATATGCTAGCTGCTTGGACGGAAAAAAGAACTTTGTATTTTCTGAAGACATACACATCTGTATCTGCTAAGAACCACACAAATAGTGTCCCACGTAAAAAAAAATGCACCTTCCCCCGCTAAATGGAGCCATGCGAAGCAGCGGGCGCTAAAAATTACAGTGGCGGCGCATTGACGTTGGCTCTCATTGCAGAGGTCCGAAAGAAGGAAAACCTTGGGAGGCGCAAAGCACGCAGTGATGGACCGGTGTTTTCTTGCCGAAACATACTAATCGCTGCTAATGGGCAGTGAGAGACAAAAAGACTCCGATTGGACACAGGAACCGCAGTCGACTTCTAGTTAACGAGAACGCTGTGATTTTTATTTTATTTTTTTCAATGACGCCCCGCAGGAATCTCTCACCGGCATTACCTTGGAGGTCAAGATCCAGGGCTTATTTCTGCGGGGTGACCAGTGAACGGTGATGCAGTGCAAGCAGTCAGTTTTTAAATCTAGAAACTTGCTAGCGCACGAGTCCTTAGTAAGCGTTGGGGGGCGACATATAGGGAGTGGGAAAGGAGACGTGGTAAGGGGACGCGCAAAGACATTTGGGGTGTAAAAGTAAGGATGGCCACACTGCACACCAGATCGAGCTTGCCAATAAGATACTTCGCATCTAATAACGTTGTATATGCTCATAACAGAAGGGCATTCAACTTATAAGACGCTTTAGCTTGGCCTTCAAGGGTAGAACTTGACAGTGTAATCGGACGCCGTTCGTATCACCTTTACAGCCGATGGCCTCACTTCACTTAGCGGTGGACACCACAACAATGCCACATCAATAATAACAGTAATAATAATAATAATAATAATAATAATAATAATAATAATAATAATAATAATAATATCTTGGTTTCAGAACTGCAAAACCACCATGTAATTATAAGGAACGCTATACTGAAAGACGTTCTTCAGGCCTCTACTCTTTCACCTTCATCGAAGTGCAACTGCCGTGGTTGAGATCCAACCCGCAAATATCTGCTCAGCAGCAGAGCACTGTAACCGCTACGTCAACGGGGTGGATTGAGACACAGCCTTGTACGAGTCTATGCAATCTGCACTATTAGGGGCTGAGCACTTTGGGGTCTAGGCTTGTTGGCCTGTCATGTGGCTAGGGTATGCGATGTAGTCATAGTTCATCCTAACCCTCTAGAGAGAGGCCTTCATCGTATAGGGTTTAGAAAAAGCATTATCCCCGAGGGGACTTGGCGACGTCACATGAGTTTCGTGACAAACCCATGCGACGAGCCTTTGTGACGTCGGCGTCTCATGTCGTTATGGCGTGTCATGTTGTCACGATGAGGGATGTAGTCACGGTCCAGCATAAAAAACAAGTGAGCGCCATAAAACTTGCGAAAATCCCATGACAGACCAGTGGTTTACTAAAAATGAACAATGCAAAAAAAAATTCAATAGCGTCGGGGCCACTGAAACACCCTTCCCTACATATCGTATGGAACTGAAACCACGTATGTAGAAAAAAAAATGGCCCCGTATCTGCATGGTAATCTGCAAATGTCTTCGAAAGACGATAGTCTTGCGTGTGGAGAGAGTGAACAAAACATTTATTTGATGTTCAGCGCAAGAAAATCGGTGAATAGTATTCTGGAGGCGCTGCGTTAGAGTGCCTCGAGCGTGCAGCGGACGCGAACGAAAGCATCAAGTCACGTCACACGTGAGACATGAGCGCCACCTAGCAGTTTTCTTCGAAAACGAAGTGCGTGGTTCTTAGATGGGTGTGCGCGCCCGTCTCAGAGGTGATAAGGTGTAGAACGCAAGGTGACAGGTAGGTGCCATCACCGTCTCGTCTTAGCTAAGCGTCAAAAACACTCGCCTTTTCGTGCAGGCGTTGCATGGTCAGCGCAGCGTGATAAGCGCTACGGTCCTTAAAATTTCTTATGTACACCTTTTCTAGCAAAAGGCGCACATGCAGAATATTGCCGCGCGTAAGTGCCAGTGGTGAGGACAACGAAGCAGCGCGACTGTCCTTGGCCGAGGGCAAAAGACGAAGAAGTCGTTGCAGTGTGTTTCCTGCGATCGATAAATCGTATTTGTTTGAGGCGCTTTGTGTGCTCGTCAATCCCGCGTCGTCACACTGGTGGAGGTGCTGAGTACGTCTTCATGCTCGGCACCCCTTCGTGGACCCGACATTCGAGCCCGGAATCACTACCACCCGTCGACACACCAGTCCATCGTTCCAGCCGTCGTCTGCGAGGCCTAGCTCCCGAGCTCAATCCCTTGCCAGAAACTGCCAGCAATCGCTTGCCTCCTTCAACCACCATGGCCACTGCAGCTACATCGCACATGACACTTCAGAATCCCATGATTCCTGACTGCTTGCATGGTGAGACCTATGAAGATGCACAAGACTGGCTAGACCAGTTTGAACACTGCGCGAAGTACAACCAGTGGGCCACCCCTGAAGACAAGCTCGCGAATGTGTACTTCTACCTTATCACTACAGCGACACCTATCGACGTTGGTCCAATGTTATCTCCCATTGAGCGAGACCGCCTTCTCACGCTGATCAAAAAGTTCCATGGCTGCTTCTCATCCACATCAAGAGTTGGTCAAACGGCACAGACGAAACACCGCATCATCACGGATTCCGACGCCAGACCCATCCGGCAAATCCTTATCGAGTCCATGATTAAAGACACAGCGCAAACAACGGCAGGAAGAAAGGAAGAGACAGGACAGAGCGCTGACTTACAACTGATCTTTATTAGGAAATGCGAACAAATATATATCATGGCAGGCAAAAAACACGTGTCCACCACAATATCAAAAAATTTTTCGCACAAGCGTCACCATCACCATATCGCTACTGTCTCACCGCACACGTGTACATCCTACAGATAAGAAGTCCATCTCTTTTTGAGAGAGGGTTACAGATGCCCTACTTACACATTGATCTTTCAGACGTGCAATTTCAGCCGCTTCCATTATCTCCCTAGTTTTTCTTTCTTTGTGCCTGGCTAGGATTTTAGTGTCGCGAAACTGCGGTGTGCACCCACAATCCCTACAATGGATGCCAAGGTGGCCGCTAATAGTATTTTTCACGTTGTACTCGTGCTCCTTCAATCTTGTGTTTACGCACCTTCCTGTTTGGCCCACGTATATCCTTCCACAGGACAGCGGGATCGAATAAACTACATTTTCCGCGCAAAGTATGTAGCTAAATTTATGATTTACTGCGCAGAGCTGCGGCCCTCTTGCGGGTTTATTCACTTGCGCACATATGGACAACAGCTTTATCGGCGCAGAGAACAGCACTCTGACGTTGGCATGCTTCCCTATCTTTTTCAAATTGTGTGCGATCCCATGCATATACGGCACAACGGTACACTTTTTATTTCTGTCGCACTCCGATAACGATTGCCGGCCCTGGGTATGCTTTAGCTTTTTTAAATAGATTCTGCGACAGAAATTAACAGATGTGATGGATAAGCTGCTGCCTTAAGGCGTTCAAGTTGTTTACTGAAGCTCTCTGAAATTAAGTGGCGACAAGACTTCTTTAGGGCATTAGTAAAGCACGTAGTGGCAATAGACCTCTTACCAATTTAGAATGGCAGGAATCAAAAGGTAGCAATGGTTTACTGGCTCGTGGCTCATACTCCCAGCAAATGTGATCTGTTTCAAATTTAAGCTTCAGATCAAGAAACCTAATGACCTGCCCCACTGGTAATTCATGCGTCAAAACAAGTGGCTGGAAATGCTTTCGAAATTCATTTAGCACTTCTAACATTAGTGGTTGTAGGCCTGATTCGTCCGTCTGAAAAATAACTAAGAAATCATCTACGTAACGGAAGACCTTGGTCAGCCTTAAAACATTCATGTGGTCGTGCACTTGCCTATCTAGATGCGCTAGGAAAAGATCACTTATATCGGAGCTATGCTAGATCCAATGCAGACCCCATTTGTCTGGATGTAAACCCTGTCATTCCAAGTTGTAAAAGTCGAATTAAGGTACATGGTTAAAAGCTCTAAAAAACTGCCAACCGCTAACCCTGTGTCGTTCTGAAAGGCGGTTGCACCATGCTTATCTATACACTCTTCAATACACAGCATAAGTTGACTATGAGGCAAAGAATAGTAAAGGTCCTTTACATCCAATGAGCATGCCATGTAGCTTTTGTCGTTACAGGTATCTAAAAACGCAATCACATCGTCCGAATTTCGCACAATAAAGGGGTCATTTACTTCCAATTTCCTTAACTTTTCTTGCAGAAACGAAGACAAGCATTTCTGCCACGTACCACTTTCCGATACTATTACCCTTAATGGCATGTCCACCTTATGGGTTTTTGCAGTGAAAAACATATGCAAGCTCCCACCTTTGCTTTTGTCAATCGATTTCACCAAGCTCTCAAGATTTAGTTTTTTACATAGCTTCTTGGCTTTTGACCTAACCTGCTGAAGGGAAACATTTTCCTTTAAGGTGAAAGCTGAAGATATCGCTACCT